GTGAACAATGCGGTTGGACGAAAAGTGGCTAAGGATATAGTAGCACCTCCACAGCAGACACACACGCAGTTGAACTTTCGTTCGAATGTTGCTGGGATAGTTAAACTTGTGCGGGAGGCAAATTTGAGGGATGAACACTTGAAACAGTTGCAGAAGATGCCATTTTGGATTATGATCGAGGCGATACACATGAATAATTTGAACCATAACGAGTTTAGGAAGTGTGATGATCTTATATCCAAAATTATAAGATCATACAATCGGCGAGATAATGCATTCAACATTGGAGGTGTCAGTGTGAAATTTGGGAGCAGCGACATCAGGTTAATATTTGGTTTGCAGTGCGGGAAACGCCGTTTAGATTTGTCACCCGGTCAGCGGCCAGTGTCAAACTTTATTCAACGTAGGTGTCGTGACACGTCATGCCTAACGTTGAAGTTAGTTAAAACGTTATTTTTAGAGGCTTTGAATGGCCAAAAGAAACAAGATGAAGAAGACACAACGAAGTTGTTGGCGCTGTACATGTGCGGGAAGCTTTTTTTCTCTAACTCTGGGGAGACAATAAGTTGGGCTTTTGTTCGCTACATGAACGATCTGAACACCGTTAGGATGTACAAGTGGACTGGAGCAATACTGACAACATTGATCGCATCAATCAAGGAGTTTCATCGTACCCCAGGGAAGGTGACAGGGTGCGTGGTTGCGCTGCTGGTATGTGTACATTTGGACATTAGTTAGTTATTGAATATATGCATTTTTTTTTGTATCAATAAATGGTTGATTTGTTGTTTTCTGTTTTTTTGTTCATGTAGTATTGGTTTTGTAAACATTCGAATATAGTGGAGCCTCAAACCGACAACATGTTTCCCAGGTTCCTCAAATGGGACATTGGGGCATTAATGAATAAAATTCAAGGGGTGGATTTGGTTGGTCCAATTGGTTTTCAGGTAACTTGGTGTAGTGTACTTGTTGCGTTGAGTTATGCACTTTATTACTGAAGTTTGTACTAGTGTGAATAAGATGTAACTATTAATTCTGATGTGTTTTTATTATTTGCAGGTTAAAGTTGACCGTCTGAGGTTTTTTGATTATGAACGTGAAGTTATGGGCACAAACATTCAGATGGAGGAAGAAGGTTTGGCAGATATCAATGGCGGAGGTGTGGATTATGACGGTGTGGACGAGCATTTCATGGAAGAGAGGACGGGAAAAAAATACAAGTGCTGACCAGGTGGTGCAGGGCCACAACATTGAAGTAAAACGGTTCACAGAGCATGTGGATTGCAATTCCGATATTGAAAGGGTTATTAATGACAAATTAGAAGAGGCACTAATTGCAGTCGCAGAGCTTGAAATGTAAAACAAAAAGAAAGACAAAATGGTGTCGTTACTTGAAGAAGAAGTTGCTGGGTTGAAGAGGAACGTGGAGTTTCAAGCTGTTAGCATAGTAGGGGGATTTGAGTGTGTGGTGAAGATGAAAGACGATGAGTTGAGTAAGTTAAAAAATGAGAATGAGGAATTGCAGAAGAGAGTGTTAGTGCTTGAGGACCAATTAGAGGATCGTGATGTGCACGTTGTGATGCAACGGTTTCGGGAAGGCGTGGATATTGGGGGTAGTGGTGGGGTTAATGTGGGGAATGATGGATGTGATGGTGTTATGTTCTGTGATGTGTCACCTTTGCGTATGTTGCCATAGCATGGTCGTAGTGGTAATGAAGGGGTGGTGGACACTGTGGCGGAGTGCAGACCAGGGATGTTTCATGGTCATTACAGTAGCAGTAGTTCTGCTGTTGAAGTTGAAGGCTTGACGAGTGATGTTGAATGTGTTGCAGGATTGGGTTATGTAAATTCATATGTGCATAAAATCAAGAACAAAGTGAGAAGGGAGCAAAAAATGCCTGAGTTTGATTACCCACTGTTGGGTGGGCGTACTAAGAAGACAGTCGAGAACAATTATGATGGAGTGGATGACAGCAAATGTAACGTGCATAACGCAATTATTGATGTCGATGCGGTGGTGTTACCTGAGAAAAAGAAGAAGTCTGGGTTTGATTTGGATAACTGGTTGGGTGTTTGGAAGATGATGACAATGGATAAGAAGGCAAGGATCACCAAAGCGTATGAGCGGCACGGTGATGGGTACGTATTTATTTTGAGTGTTATTTGTATTGTTTGCATTCATTTGTAAATTTGTATAATGTACATCGGCATTCTGTACAGGGCGGTCATGTGGGAGGACAATATGAATGGCGTTGTGGTTTATTTCAGCGATGTGAAAAACCTTGTACGCCAGAGCTGCATGCGTGGGAATGTGAGTATTTACATATAGTGGTTGTAATGTTGTATTTTCTATTCATATATTTGTGGTTAATTTTGTTTTACATGGTGGCATCATGACAATTATTTAGTTGCTACAGCATTGTTGTGAAAATTGGTTATGATGGTTGGTAGGTCGTTGATGCGTATGTAGAGTTGTTGAAGACCGACCAGTTGAGGATGTATGGAGACAATGAATTGGTGGACAAGTCTTACTTTTTCAATAGTGTGTGCCTGGTGAGTTTGTGGTTTAGTTTGTTTGTTTTTTTTTTTTTTTTTTGTTGGTGGTGCGGTGGTGTAATGTTTCATGAGAATGATGTATTTGCAGGACGTGGTGAAAAGTAATGACGTGCGTTCAATAGAAAACTACATTCGGAAGAATGTGTCTGCAGGGAGCGAGTTTCGTTTCATCCATTTTCCCATGTGTCATCTTGGGCACTAGACGCTTGTAATGTATGACACTAAAGATGGTAGTTAGAAGCACTACAACTCAATGAGGCAACGTGGGGATAGGACAGATGTGCACCACACTGAAGCTGTTATGCTGGTAAGTATGTGTAACCAGTATGTGTGTTGTGTAAATTGGTTGTAGTTGTGTAAACGATGGTTGGTGATTTGGTTTTGTGGTGGTTTAATTTTGTAATTTTATTGAATGGCCGAAAGAACGTGTGTCAAATGTTATGATGCAATCGTTACGTCAATTCGGACTGGATGAGCAGAGCATTGAGGCAAATTTCAGGCATCCGTTAGAAGCCGTAACTAAGTGTCCACAGCAAAAACCAGAAACGTAAGTAACAGTGTTGTCGTAAATGTAAGAGAACTATAATTATAACAATGCTATTATGAGTGTCGCTGATTACATGTGCTTATTTCGTGTGCAGGCTTGATTGTGGGGTAATAGTGTGTGGTATAATGCGCTAGTACGTGTATCGTGGCGACGTGGAGCGAACGTTGCAAGGTAGTAATTGCAGCGTGTTGCGAGCAAACATGGTTAAATATTTCATCAACGATCCGACCCAAGGTTGAAGGATTAGATGTGTTTGGTCTGAAACGGGGACGAGAAAGAATTCAAAAGCAGCAGTTTTTGTTTTATGAATTTGGTTTATGCGTTTTGTTTGTTTTTTTGAAACAACATATTTGTTACTTTGAACTTGTGGTTTGAAAATTCAGGTTTATAAATTGTTGGAAATATTTTTTGTGGGTGTTACGTAATAGTCGTTGTGGATAACATTTTATGCATTTTGAATGGAAGTATGGTATGATTTGGATTATGATTTTGGTTGTTTGTTTGGCCTGTTTGTTGATGCGTTTGTAGGTAAGTTGTGTGATTGTAGTAAGAAATTTCAAACAAGTAATGGAAGTTGATGTAACGGTTTTTAAGTCATGTGGGACTGCGTTGTGGGCAGAAAATGTGTGACGTTGATGTACACGTAGTGATAGAAGTTGAGTGTCGAAAATTGTAAGATATTAATTACATTGATGTATAAGTATGGTATATATGCGAAAATTATAGTCAGGGAAAAGATGGAAAACGACACGGCTATGGGCCGCAGGATGGTTATCCGGACAAAATTGAAAATGGTACAAACATGTTTGTTACCAGGCAATTTTGTGCTGTATTTCTTGTTTGTGTGCAATGTTTGCAGATGTGGCAGTTCATTTGGTCACATGACGATAAAATGTTGCAACTACACATATTGAAGTATGGCGCATGTGCTGAAATAAATAGTAGTACAATACGAAGCAGACGTAAATAATATGGTGAAGGGGTAAACAGAATAACGCATCAATACTAAATTTGTTCATTGACTCTTCTGTCTAAATGATGGACTAGGGAATTGTGGAACATCCACTTATTTAATAAAAAAACTGTAAAAGTTTAATGTGAAAAGTACGAATCTACGAATTTTGTTTGGAAGCTAAATTGGTTCCTTGCACGTTTTCCTGTTGTGGTTACCCATGCGTTGATAACGACCACACTGAATTTGTTGGACTTGTTCCCCTTTGGAAAGCATGCGTTTCTTCTTGGGCCTTCCCGATGGGCGTTTGACAGCGGAGGGTTGTATGACAAAATCTGCAAAGTTAAATTGTGGTTTCTCTACAGTTGGAATGGGGGTTATGTTTTGTGCATATGAATTCTTGTACTCAGCCACATGGTAGTAGGGAATAACTAACTCGTACAGATCTAGACCACTATTTCGGATTGCCATGACTACATGAGCACATGGGAAGTCGTTGATCTGCCACTTGAAACAAGAACATGTACGTCTGCCAACATTGACCATGACGGATGGAAAAGAGTGAACCTCGTATACGTCATCGTTTGATTGGCTTACGAGCCACGATCTACGTTTGTTGTACGCTTTGACCAACCGAGCTTCCATTTTGGGACAAATAACACCTGCCCACACATTTTCCTTACGTCTCCGTTTTGCCATCTAGCACATAATCTTTGCTCGGATACTATTAATCATTTGAGTTATTGGTAGGTGGCGTGTTTCCCGTATCCACGAGTTAAATGATTCAATGGCGTTGGAACATATCTCGACGTACCGTGAACCTCTAGTTTTAAAGAAGGATGACATGTGTTAGTGAAAAAAAAAAGCCAATGAGTAGGCATGAAACAGAAATGATGTATTGTAGGAATAAAGTGTGTGTGGGGAAAAAAAATAAGTAATTACGTACTAGAAGTAAGCATTCGCCCAATAATGAGGGGGTAAATCTTTTAAGAAAGCAGGCACAACCTTACGTCCACATTTTGTGAACTCTTCCATTCTCTGGTTGAATGCAGCCACAGTCGGAGCGCATGCGCAAGCACGAAATTTAGCCAACATCACAGATCGATATGAACTATTCACATAACGTAACTTGTCTTGCAAGTTACGCTGCAAATGTTGTAAGAAAAACGCATGCTTCGCTGTGGGGAATATGATGGGTATCGATTCTAGTAAGCCCGCGTGTCGGTCTGAGACAAATGTAAGTGTCCTTTGCCTATTTACCACGTTTGCGAGGTGTCCCAAAAACCAAGCCCAATTTGTGGTGTTTTCGAAATCAACAATCGCAATGGCCACAGGGAATAAACCTGCAATTTGTATTTGTTAGTCAAGCAACCAATCTGTGAAACAATATTTACGAACAAGTGTTATGACGATCACGCCGATGTGGAAAAGAAAGTGTCCTACCTAGCAACAATATAAGTACATTTGCACTACATAAATATAATATATAAATAATTACCACATAGTAATACCTTGGTTTCCATCCTTCGCAGTTACGGCTAGCAAGTTCCCCTTGAATTTCCCTTTTAGAAAAGTCTCGTCCCAGAAAAACGATGGGCGGCAATGGTTGAACCCATCGATGCATGTTTTGAATGATATGAATGTAACAACCCTCACCACTGTTTACCGATTGATTACTGATTACCGTTAAACTGAGACTGATTATGATAAGTAATTGAATCGACTGAAATACTGAACTGACTGACTGAAATCTGGAACTGAATTGATTGAGTACATCTGTTTAATTGTATGTCTATCTGTTGCCTGTTTGATTATCTGTTTGTGTATTTATGTTCAAACTGCAAATTGAAGGCCTTATTGGCGGCCGAATCTGAAATTAATTAATGTTCTATGATCCTTAGAATTTATGCGATTTTATGGCTTATTTATCTGAAATGTGATTTAGTATGATTAAATTAGATTAAAATAAGCTAAATTGCATGAGTTGGTTTATTCACCATTTTGCCACCACTAGTGGGCCACTAGCTTAGCATTTTTGAGACTCATTCCTTTGTATCAAAACACATTTTATCAGCCATTTTGTTGAGCTCAACCGAACTAGAGAGAGAGAGAGTTAGGAGAGAGTGTGATTTCATCTCTAATTGGCTTGGAAACTTGGTAGAAGTGAAGGAATTGAAGAGTAATTTGCAAACTTGAGCTTATATTCTCATAATTGAAGACATAAGGTAGAGCTCTTACCTTCTTAGTTATGAATTGAAGTGCTTCTTGCATGGTTTAGAGCAAAGTTGAAGACTAGAGCCAATTTATGGCTCAAATTGTTGTGTTGAAGCTTAATTGTTATATGCATGTGTATATATATATTGAAGTTATGAGGTTGTAGTTCATAATTCCTCACATGCATGTCCATGTTTTGAGAGTAGACCATGACTTCATCTTGATTTTGTAAGAATTGGCTCATTAGAGCAAGTATTGGAAGCTTTGAATTAGTTAAATTCAGGCATGTTTGCATGTTCTTCATATTCATGAAATTTAGTTTCAATTTGGGCTCAATTGATCTTCTTTTAGGGCTTTGATTTTACATTTGAGATTTGAATCATGTTAAACTTTGAGTTTTGGAATGTTTTCTGGAAAATTGGCCCAAATAGTATGGTTTTGATGCATCTAAAGTTGATTTTGAGCTTGAGGTTCAAATCTGGGAATTCTAGATTTTGAACTCACGCTCGAGTGGGGTGACTGGCGCTCGAGCGTGGAAATCGTGCTCCTAGCATTTTGTTCTGTTTTTGAGTCAGCTCGAGCGGGGTAATTAACGCTCGAACGGGACCTTGTGTCTTACGCTCGAGCGGGTGTCGAGCGCCCAATCAAGCGTGAATTTCACCTATCCAGCACTTTTGACTGTTTTGTAGAACGCTCGAGCGGGTAAGTCTACGCTCGAGCGGAAACCTTTGTCTGCATGTCCGCTCGAGCGGAGTAACCTACGCTCGAGCGTGACCCCTGTTTTCTGAAAATGCTTTTAAAGGGCATCCTTGCATCCTCATTTTATCCTAGGCATTCCTAAGCCTAGTTTAAGGCATCTTAATGAGGATATAGATATAGAACCACACCGAGTCTAAGTAGGGACTAAGTCTTTGTTTTTCGAATGTGCACTTAGTGTGTGTTCATCCTGTAAACTGTGTAGGGTTGGCATCCGAGGACGCGCTCTAGCTTAATTGTAGCCCAGAACTCTGTGAGTAACAACTGTGTAAAGATATGTTCAAAGATGAATATTTTCTGACTGTTAACTGAACTGCTTTCTGAACTGTTACTGTTAACTGAATGAATGTATGTCCTCTATTCTGAACTGTATTGTGGCATCCTTAGCAACTATTGTTACTGTTACTGCTACTGTTACAGAGATCTCTGTCGGTTCCCAAATGGAACCACTATTGTTTACTGTTATGATGGCCATCATTGACTGCTCGGTCTTTTAAGACCTACTATTTACTGTACTGCTATGCTAATGAATGTACCACATATGATTGTTACGACTGAATGATTGAAATACTGATTTAATGAACTGTTTTCATTACTGTAAGGACATTCATTCTTAACCTCTTTACGCATTATGTTATTCACTGGGCTTTAGCTCACTGTTTATATATATATGTAGGTGTACAGGCACCAGACCGGAGCTAGGAGCGTAGGTTAGACTCTCTTTTTGTCAAGCCAACCATTGTGCCTTACTGCGAGGTTCCGAGCCTGCTAAGCTTTGGCTTAGGGGTGTTTAATTTCCCCCGCCTGTCTCTGTATCTGTTTTGTAATAACTGTATAGACTGATAGCACTGTACTGTACTATTCAATAGGGATTAAGTCCCTGTTCTGATCGACTGTAAATGTTGTACATACTGTTCTGTATTGTTCATGTATATACGTATGAAAAATCTTTTTGCATACAGACTATCACAGCTCATTGGACACTGTTTATTTACTGTTTTGGCTTCCGCCATGCCCCTGTACTCTGTATTATTGTCTGACTGTTAAGCAGGCCTTTGGTAATCTCGGATTACTGGCCGGTTACGGTGCTAAACCCATAGGGGCGGGTTTGGGTCGTGACAGAGTCGTATCAGAGCGATACTTAATCACGAGTTATACCGCACACACATGTCCAAATGAGCTATTGGGTGTCCTAGGAAAGCAATTAGGGCATCACATGAGCATGAAAAGTGTGTGTGTGGACATGACATGTATATGTGTTAATGTGTTGAAACATATAACTGCTTATGTTTAAGTGTTTAAAGTATGCAACTTCCTATGTTTATTATTATAATGTTGCATATAGAGAAATGGATCATGCAAGCACTGCTAATGAAACTGAATCCCCTGAGGCAAGAATGACGAGGTTGGAAAAAATGGGGGAACTATTAACTGCAAGGCTAGAACAACAACAGAACCAACAGCCCCCACCTTCTCCTCCGGTACAACTGGAACCGAATGTTAATAATGGGGATATAACTGCTCTCACCCAGAAGTTCAGCAAAATGAAACCGCCATCCTTTCAGGGAGGCCTTGAGCCGCTAAAGGCTGAAGCTTGGGTTCTTGAGACAGAGAAACTATTTGAGGTCTTTCCGTGTTCTGAAGCACACAAAGTGCTATTGGCCACCTTTACACTACAGGAAGAGGCCAGAAGGTGGTGGATATTAGTCCGCGACACCAACACTGTTATGACTTGGGCCCTATTCAAGGAGTCCTTCTTTGAAAAGTATTTCCCTCAGTGTGTCAGGGACGGAAAAGTGACTGAATTTGAACAGCTGAGACAAGACACTATGTCGGTGGCAGAATATGAGACAAAATTTACTAAACTTGCCCGTTATGCATCGCACATGGTTGATACTGATTACAAGAAGGTCAGGAAGTTTGAAGGCGGCCTTAATGTTGCAATACTGGACAGAATAAATGTTTTAAAACTACCGAACTATGTGAATGTTCTTGACCGAGCATTAATGGCTGAGTCAAACATTGAAGCACTGAAACAAACTGAAACACCAGCATCTGAATGGCGTGGTAAAAGGCAGGGTTTTAAATTCAAGAAAGGCAAGAATAACCCATTGAACAAGAAATAGAATACAGGGTCAACGACTACTTCTAGTCAAGGGAACCGGTCTATACCACCCTGTTCTGAATGTGGTAAGAACCGTAAGGGAGTTTGTTATAAAATATATGGAGCTTGTTACAGGTGTGGCAAGGTGGGCCACATGGTTAAAGACTGCCCCTCTGCTTCGCAGGCCAATAGTAAAGCTGCACCTAGCGCAGCAGCATCGACTGCTACACCAAAGCCTAACCCCAAAATTACCGGGAAAGAGCCCATGAGGCAAGGTCGAGTGTTCGCACTAGTACTGGGAGACATGCAGAATACCGAGACCGTTGTGTCAGGTATTCTCTCTATTTGTACTCAAAATGCATATGTTCTGATTGATTCGGGGTCTACACATTCGTATGTATCGCATGCTTTTTCGCGAAAATTGAATAGACCATTAGAACCCATGAATTATCTGTTAGCTGTATCTTCACCTGTCGGGGGATCTGTAACTTGTGTTTATATGTACCTTGCATGTGAAATTATTGTTGGGGATATGCATCTGTATATTGACTTACTGCCTCTGAACATAGATCATTTTGATATTATATTGGGGATGGACTGGTTAACGAAATATCATGCTACCATAGACTGTGTAACGAAACAAATAGTTTTCCGTCCATCGGGTTTACCTGAATTTGTGTTTAATGGGGTTGGAGTAGTACCTCCTCCATATCTGATTTCCTCTGTGAAAGCCTTTAAACTGATTAAGAAGGTGTGTAAAGGGTATCTGTGTTCTGTATTGACTGTACCTATTGATGATAAAAATGATGTGAACTGTATCCCTATAGTTAGAGAATTCCCAGATGTTTTTCCAGATAGTCTACCAGGGGATTTGATTGACAGGGAGATTGAGTTCACCGTTGATGTGATTCTGGGTACACAGCCAGTGTCTAAAGCTCCTTACAGAATGGCTCCAACTGAATTGAAAGAGTTGAAAGTTTAGCTGCAAGAACTGCTAGACAAGAAGTTCATCAGGCCTAGTACTTCACCGTGAGGCGTACCTGTTTTGTTTGTGAAAAAGAAAGACGGCTCACTGAGACTCTGTATCGATTACCATGAATTGAACAAGGTAACTGTGAAAAATAAATACCCATTACCGCGTATTGATGACTTATTTGGATCAGTTAAGGGGTGCTCAAGTCTTTTCTAAGGTTGATCTCAGACCTGGATATCATCAGTTGAAAAGTTAAACCAGAGGGACATTGACAAAACTGCTTTTCGAAGAGATATGGACATTACGAATTTTTAGTTTATTGCTTTCGGAGTTACATGCACCTGTTTGCATTTATAGACATCATAGACAGAATGCTTTAAACCATTCCTCGATGATTTATTGTTGTATTTATTGATGACATATTGATTTACTCCAAAAGTATAGAACAGCATGAACATCATCTGAGACTTGCCCTACAAACTTTAAGAGAACAGAAACTTTATGCTAAACTGTCTAAATGTGAATTTTGGCTTGACCATGTTATGTTTTTGGGGCATGTTGTTAGCAAAAATGGAATTTCTGTTGATCCGCAGAAAATTGAAGCTGTAGTAAACTGGCCTAGACCAACAAATGTGACCGAAGTCCGAAGCTTTTTGGGTTTAGCTGGATATTACAGAAGATTTGTCAAAGATTTCTCCAAAATTGCCTTACCGTTGACTCAGTTAACTCAGAAGGGGATATCATTTGACTGGACTGATCAAAGGGAATCAGCTTTCCAAGAGTTAAAAACTCGACTTGTGACTGCACCGGTTCTTACCCTACCTTCAAGTACGGATAGTTTTATCATTTTTAGTGATGCTTCTCATAAGGGTTTGGGATGTGTTTTAATACAGAATAGGAGAGTAAGTGCCTATGCTTCCCGACAACTAAGACCGCATGAAAAGAACTACCCGACCCATGATCTAGAACTTGCTGCAGTAGTGTTTGCACTGAAAATTTGGCACCATTACCTTTATGGGGCTACATGTGAAGTATATACCAACCATAAGAGTTTAAAGTATTTCTTCACATAGAAAGAACTGAACATGAGACAGCGGAGATGGCTAGAATTGATTAAAGACTATGACCTACAGATTTTGTACCATCCGGGAAAAGCCAATACCGTTGCCGATGCGTTGAGTCAGAAATCGATTGGGAACTTAGCTTGTTTACTCATCGGACAGAAAGAGTTGCTTTGTGACCTTGAAAAATCTGAAATTGAAATTGTTTTGTGAGAACAAGGTGGAACAGTAGCTGCTATTTCTGCTCAACCGGCGCTGATTGAAGAGATTAAAGAGAAACAGCAACAGGATGACTTCTTGAAGAAGATCGTCGAAGAACGGGAATCTAAACCGAGACCGAGTTTCAAATTTGAAAATAATGTACTAAAATTTCAGGGAAGACTATGTGTACCAAATGATACTGAACTGAAAAGAAGAGTTCTGCAAGAGGGCCACAATTCAAAACTGTCTATCCATCTAGGGAATACAAAAATGTACCAAGATTTGAAACTGAATTTCTGGTAGCCGGGAATGAAGAAAGAAATTGCTGATTTTGTATCGAAATGTCTTCATTGCCAACAAGTCAAAGCCGAACATCAACGACCCGCAGGCTTACTGCAGCCCTTACCTATACCGGAGTGGAAATGGGAACATATCACCACGGATTTTATCGTTGGTTTACCTCGCTCCAGTAAAGGTATGGACTCAATTTGGGTTATAGTTGATAGACTGACTAAATCTGCTTACTTTTTACCTGTCAAAACAATTTATAATGCGGACAAATTGGCTATACTCTATATTGATGAGATTATTAGATTGCATGGAGTGCCTGTGTCCATTGTTTCTGATAGGGACTCGAAGTTTACATCGAGATTTTGGCAAAGCTTACAGACTACATTGGGTACTGAACTGAGACTGAGTAGTGCCTATCATCCTCAGACAGATGGCCAATCAGAGAGGACCATCCAGACTCTGGAGGATTTACTGAGAATGTGTATCCTTGATTTTTAGGAAAACTGGGAAAGTCATTTGCCTTTAGCTGAATTCGCCTACAACAACAGTTATCATTCAAGTATTGGTATGGCGCCTTTCGAGGCATTGTATGGAAGAAAATGTAGATCTCCGATTTGCTGGGCAGAAGTTGGAGATGGGCCTTTGCTTGGGCCCGAGATTGTATACGAAACGACTGAGAAAGTGAAACTGATACAACAGAGACTGAAAACCGCACAGAGCAGACAGAAAAGTTATGCTGATGTCAGAAGACGGGATAGAGAATACGAAGTGGGTGATCACGTATTTGTGAAAGTGACACCGATGAAAGGCCAGACTCGTTTTGGAGTCAAGGGCAAGCTGGCGCCGAGATACGTCAGACCGTATGAAATTATTGAGAAAATCAATCCAGTGGCGTATCAAGTTGCGAGAGGAGCTTCCAAGGCTTTCCGGAATCAGAAAATCAAATTAGAGGGGGTACTTATTAATTACAATATCGAAAATTTTTACAAAAATATTTTACGCAAGTTTTGACGATTGATTTCGAGAAACATAAAAAAAATAATGTTATTTATAACTAGTGCATCATGGATAATATAAAAAAATATAGATATAAGTCTTAATACAAATTATTTTTTTATTGAAAATTTGATTAAAAATTCAATATAATGGTAATACCATGTCATCATTAGTATGTGATATTACTAACTAATAGTAAATAAACACATAGAGAGTGAATCTCACAAGTCAAATGTAACTAACAATCTAATAAATTTCATATATTTATAGTGAGATTATTTATACTTGCATATCAATAATAATGACATCATCATTACATTCAAATTTTTTAATAAAATTTTCATAGATAATATGGTTTATAATAGTCTCTTCATAGTCTCTTTTTTTTCAATCAAAATAACCATTATTATTCTCATGCTTAGCACTTTTGAGACTCATTCCTTTGTATCAAAACACATTTCATCAGCCATTTTGTTGAGCTCAACCGAACTAGAGAGAGAGAGTTAGGAGAGAGTGTGATTTCATCTCTAATTGGCTTGGAAACTTGGTAGAAGTGAAGGAATTGAAGAGTAATTTGCAAACTTGAGCTTATATTCTCATAATTGAAGACATAAGGTAGAGCTCTTACCTTCTTAGTTATGAATTGAAGTGCTTCTTGCATGGTTTAGAGCAAAGTTGAAGACTAGAGCCAATTTATGGCTCAAATTGTTGTGTTGAAGCTTAATTGTTATATGCATGTGTATATATATATTGAAGTTATGAGGTTGTAGTTCATAATTCCTCACATGCATGTCCATGTTTTGAGAGTAGACCATGACTTCATCTTGATTTTGTAAGAATTGGCTCATTAGAGCAAGTATTGGAAGCTTTGAATTAGTTAAATTCAGGCATGTTTGCATGTTCTTCATATTCATGAAATTTAGTTTCAATTTGGGCTCAATTGATCTTCCTTTAGGGCTTTGATTTTTCATTTGAGATTTGAATCATGTTAAACTTTGAGTTTTGGAATGTTTTCTGGAAAATTGGCCCAAATAGTATGGTTTTGATGCATCTAAAGTTGAATTTGAGCTTGAGGTTCAAATCTGGCAATTCCAGATTTTGAACTCACGCTCGAGCGGGGTGACTGGCGCTCGAGCGTGGAAATCGTGCTCCTAGCATTTTGTTCTGTTTTTGAGTCAACTCAAGCGGGGTAATTAACGCTCGAGCGAGTGTCGAGCGCCCAATCAAGCGTGAATTTCACCTATCCAGCACTTTTGATTGTTTTGCAGAACGCTCAAGCGGGTAAGTCTACGCTCAAGCGGAAATCTTTGTCTGCATGTCCGCTCAAGCGGAGTAACCTACGCTCGAGCGTGACCCCTGTTTTCTGAAAATGCTTTTAATGGGCATCCTTGCATCCTCATTTCATCCTAGGCATTCCTAAGCCTAGTTTAAGGCATCTTAATGAGGATATAGATATAGAACCACACCGAGTCTAAGTAGGGACTAAGTCTTTGTTTCTCGAATGTGCACTTAGTGTGTGTTCATCCTGTAAACTATGTAGGGTTGGCATCCGAGGACGCGCACTAGCTTAACTGTAGCCCAGAACTCTGTGAGTAACAATTGTGTAAAGATATGTTCAAAGATGAATATTTTCTGACTGTTAACTGAACTGCTTTCTGAACTGTTACTGTTAACTGAATGAATGTATGCCCTCTATTCTGAACTGTATTGTGGCATCCTTAGCAACTACTGTTACTGTTACTGCTACTGTTACAGAGGCCCTGTTTGGTGCAGCTTAAAAGCTGCTTATTTCAGCTTTCAGCTTAATTTAAGCTATTTGATGTGTTTGGTTTAGCTTATAACTTATAGCTTATAGCTTTTTTGAAGTCAGAAATCAGCTTATTCTTTGAGTGGGACAGGAGATCCTTAATTTATAAGTCAGAAATCAGCTTATGTTCATAGTTATAAACTATAAGCCGTTTAAGTATAAGCTATAAGCACTTTCTCACAGCTCTACCAAACAGGGCCAGAGATCTTTGTCGGTTCCCATGTGGAACCACTACTGTTTATTGTTATGATGGCCATCATTGACTGCTCGGTCTTTTAAGACCTACTGTTTACTGTATTGCTATGCTAATGAATGTACCACATATGACTGTTACGACTGAATGATTGAAATACTGATTTAATGAACTGTTTTCATTACTGTAAGGACATTCATTCTTAACCTCTTTACGCATTATGTTATTCACTAGGCTTTAGCTCACTGTTTATATATATATGTAGGTGTACAGGCACCAGACCAGAGCTAGGAGCGTGGGTTAGACTCCCTTTTTGTCAAGCCAACCACTGTGCCTCACTGCGAGGTTCTGAGCCTGCCAAGCTTTGGCTTAGGGGTGTTTAATTTCCCCCCTTTGTCTCTGTATCTGTTTTGTAATAACTGTATAGACTGATAGCACTGTACTGTACTGTCCAACAGGGATTAAGTCCCTGTTCTGATCGACTGTAAATGTTGTACATACTGTTCTGTATTGTTCATGTATATACGTATGAAAAATCTTTTTGCATACAGACTGTCACAGCTCATTGGACACTATTTATTTACTGTTTTGGCTTTCGCCATGCCCCTGTACTCTGTATTATTGTCTGACTGATAAGCAGGCCTTTGGTAATCTCGAATTACTGGCCGGTTACGGTGCTAAACCCATAGGGGCGGGTTTGGGTCGTGACAATGAAATACCGTATGAAACGGTAGTTTTGTTCATCATATTCAATGTTGATATAACTTCCAGGATTATTTTCCATGACTACGCTACTGTTCCATCGTAGTTGGTCAAATGAAATGGAGTGTGCACCGAACATCTCACCGCGAGCTTTTTCGACACCTAACCATGCAACTCGGTAACTAACCTGCAATCCGTAATCTTTTTTCAAGTCATACACAACATCAGTAGGCCTTGTGAACGGCTTATCACATACCCGTTCACAAATAACATCAGACACTAGATTGGAACCAGCCCTAGGGTTTTTGGGGGTCCATACAGCAACACCACAATGTGCTCGCTGTTCCACTTACGAAGGTAAAAACAAACCATTGGCATGCAAGACACGTGCATGTACCAACCACATGCATCCTCTCGATTCCCTCATCTTACATACAGCTGTGATTCGAACAGAATCGTTCTTCAAAAATTTGAAGCCAAAGCCACACTCAACCGCATACTTGCGAAGAACATTTCGAAATTCAGATGCTCCACCTTCAAAACTTTGACCAATATGTTGAATTCCATTAGCCCATGGAGCAGACAAAAAAACCTTATCAATGTGAGGACAGAATTTTTCCAATAAATCTTGTTCGTCATCCATGTCCAAATCATCAAACACCCCTGCTATGTGACACGGGACAGTCTGCATACTATGAAATAGGCTGCCAACATTGTCAGCGTCGCGTGACTCTTGTAATTGAAGAATGACATCGATGCATTGCAGGCGGAAAGACCGTGCAAGAGATACCATGTTTTCCACATCGATATCATTATATAATGTGAAATTATTATAACCTGGTATCTTGAAGAACAAACACACTTAGGCCGGTGTTAACCCAGGAAACTTTTCGCACGCACAATTAATCATGTCATCAAACCGAAATGGAGCTTGCAAATTAATTGCGGCATTAACATTTCCGTAACAACAAATTAACATAATATGTGTGTCCATCCCCCTAACAAGATTAACACGTGCTTCATCAGGACCAAAAAAACCCGAAACAAAATTGACAAACACTAGAAAACCCATACAAGACACACCTACAACAGAGAATATACGAATAACAACACATACCTTTGCAACACAGAAAATAACCCCAAAAATGCACCACATAACCCCCCACCCCACCTGTTGAACAGAACCCCCTTACACCAACACGTAATGCAACACACACCCACAACACCAACACGTAATGCAACACACACCCACAGCAGAAGCAATTCAAAAAACAAAGCATACCATCGTAACACAAAAAATAACCCCAAAAAATGCACCACATAACCCCCCACCCTCACCCGTTGTGGTGCAGTCCCTTCCACCAATACATACAAAACTGTAAATGTTATCCAAATAAGAAGACATACCTTTGAACCCATGGGGAACCGACTTTGGTTAAACTTTCTGAATTAGTCCATCACATAGCCACCGTAAAATCACCGACCCACACCAGTGAAAACCCTAAGTCGAAAAGGCTAAAACGTCTATACACGTAACATTGAAATATCAACTGTGATACCCACAAAATCGAAAGAATCACGTGATTCCGCAACAGAATATGGAAACATAACAATTAAGGGTAAAACCGTCCACACGGTGACACCACATATGGAAAATAGGTTCAGAAAGAAACAAACCTCCCCACTAATAGGACTTACCCGGACAAAAGAATAAAGTTGGGACTAATTGGTTTAACAGTTTGTGAAATGGGATTTATTGGTAAATATTCTATAATTTTGTAACACTTATCAATTACACAAAAATAAAATTAATAGAAATTTAGGTAGAATAACCAAATTAAAATTACACTTGTTTAGGATGTCCTAAATAAGTGCACTTTTTGACTTTTTAGACTAAAAAGTTGAGGAAAAAATATATGGTTGTTTGGGTTAACTTTTTGACTTTTTTTGAAAAAATGTGTATTAAAAAATTGTATAAATTAGTGTGTAGGGGAAAATTAGGATTGAGAGTTGTGCAGCCGTACTTTTTGACTTTTGGTGAATAGTGATAACTTTTTGACTTTTTGGCTTTTTGGCTTCATGCCAAACTTGGCCTTAAAGTATAAGAATCAAATTATTCAATTTCAAACTATAAGAACTAAAGTAAAATTTAAATCAAATTATATAGGAAAAAAGTAGAAAAAATTACTCATAAATCCCAGTTTGGGAAATGTTGTTCCATTTAGTCCTAAGAGTTTTCTTTCAAACCATTTGGTCATTTTTATTTTTGGTATGTTTGTATTTTGTTGATTTGGGGGTTATAGAGTTACTTGTTCGCTCTTTGTATTTGATTTTGGTTTGATTTCTTTTTTGATGTTAGCATTGGGCACGTAAGGTATGTTTGTGTGTTTCTATTTTTTTGTTAGGATCTGGGGAGTGATTCGTGGGATTTGATGCGGCCATTGCGGCAAAATGGAGAATCACAATAGGAAAACATGTAAGGACTTGATGTAGTGCATCGACAAAATGTGGTTGATGTTACCGTTGCGGCATTTACCAATGAACACCACATATTTCACTACGACGTCGTGTGTGGTTAGTCTAATGCAAGATTCTGAGATTTTAGACATTTTATTATTTGTGTTTACTCAGTTGGTTGAGTACACGTTACTAAATAAATTACTGTTTAAATAGATACTTGTCATTTTGATTTTTAATTGGTTTACGAAATCATTATGTTTTTGGGTTTTGCCAGCCTTGCAGCAACGAATAAAAATCAGAAGTTTGCTTGCTGCATATAATTGTTATGAGCAATCAGTTTATCGTACAATATGAGTATAGGGTAGGGGTGGGCAATGGTTTATCCGACTCGCACAACCCGCCCAAAACTGACTCTACCCGCACAAATCTGACCCCTACCCACATGCATAAATAAGGCGGGTGCAGGTCTATTTTTTCATACAAAATCGGGTTCGGGTCAGACCTAACCCTACCCGTGCAAATCCGCAACCTGCATGCATGATCCGCAACTTATGTTTAAAAGAAAAAAAAAATCTAGGTATGTCTCTCAAATTCATTTTTTTGATCCTCCTTTCCTTCTCTACCTCTCTCTCTCTCTCGCCTACATCTCTTTGCCCTCCTCCCCGTTGCCATCATTTTCCTCTCCTCTACAGCCGCTGTCGTCACTCCATCCCTTCCTCTTCTCTCTGTCACAATATCATCGTCACCCCAAACCAGATCTAGATATGCTCTAGCCCAAAAAAAAAAAAAAGCACGAAGGTACCCAGATCTCTCCTCTCCTCCATTTGTTTATGGTTTATAGACCTTGTTTTGTTGTGGGTTGGTAACTTTTTGCTTTTTTTATTTAATAAAAGAAAATCCTTTTGATTGTGTTGTTGTGTTGTGGGTTTGCAAAGGGGTTTGTAAGATTTTGCTTTGTTTATTTAATAAAAGAAAATGTTTTTATTGTTGAATAATAATAATAATAATAAAATTGTTTGTAAATCACAAAAATAAGGGTGTGGTTGAGCTTTGAATAGGTTGAATAATAATAATAAATTCTAATTTTTGTTCAATACAAAACCTCCAAAAAAAAATTTTGATTTGTCAATCATTTGCACTAGGTTGGACTTTAGAAAGATTTTTATTTTTTTTTCAATCATACACTGTTTGTTAACCATAATCTGCAGAAAAAAAATCTATTTAAAAAAAATCTCTCTAAAAAATGTCTTTCAAAAGAAAAATTCTCTCATTTTTGCAATTTTGCACTCTATTGATGCAAATAAATAAATAAATAAATAAATAATTCACAAACCGCATGCAACTGATCTGCGCAACCGCATGACCCACCCGTTCAATCCGCAACCCGCACTGCGAGCGGACGCGGTTCCATTTTTTCCTAACCCATAACCCATCGGGCGGGTCCAACCCGTCATCCGAACTGCACGAAACCGATCTGTGGTCACCCCTAGTATAGGGCGACATGCAGTTGGGGATGGTCCAAATATTACTGATTGATAGTGGTGTAAGAGTGGTTTACATTACCAAACATCTCTTTCTAGTTGATGTCAAATGTAAAAGGATATCGAAATGTGTATTACACCATTTTCGTGTTTGAATTTAATACTCCCAAATTAATAAATATAATATGTTTGTAATAGTTACTCAATTGTTTGGGGTTTAATGTGTTTACGAAATCAGTATGTCATTGGGTTTTGCCGATAGTGTTTCCAAGACTATAAACCAAATTTTTGCATGCTACATGTAGGTGGTATATGTCATGACCTGAACCTACTCCTAAAAGTTTGGGTCATAACCGGCCAGTAATCCGTAGATTACTGAAGGCCTTAAACGATCATACAGAATATTTATGCTAATGGGGCCATAAATGGAAGCATATAATAATGAGAAGTCCATTGAGTTGTGTCAATCATGAGCAAAATCATAGAGTTAACCATGTAACACAATAATACATTTACATGCCTATCAAAAATATAAGGGCCACAAGAAAATTGTACATAGTGTTTACAACCCAAAACCATGGAAGCAAAAACAAAATAAGGTCAAGGTATGGTGTAAGTCAAGACAAAACTCCGTCTCGGAGGCATGACTCGATTGGGTCACAAAAAGGTTGCTGAAGCTGACTTCAGGGGTGTGCTCTATGCTGCTGATCACCTACATGTGCATACATAAAATTGGATGAGCGCAACTTAATGAGTAATAATACAGTAAAGTAATGTAAGTAGATGATCATAAAGTTCTCACGAAATCCATAATCATATAAATCAAGCGGCCTTAGGCCCAAGCATATAACAAGTGACCTTAGGCCCAAACCTATAACAAGCGGCCTCGGGCTCAATCATACATCAAACGGCCTCAAACCCAATCATATTGTGATGACCGGGTACGTTATTCGTCTCGTTCCTCTTTGTTTAACCTTGGGTTGCCTTGTTGGAGTGTCGGGTTTAGCCGAGAGTCTTGTTAACGGCTTGGGTTGTTGCGGTTGGGGGCATATTTCAAAGCCCTTTCTTTTTATTTACTTCTATGTCTAGTTCCTCGTGTTTCGGAAGGTGCGAAGTTGGGTCCAGAGTGTCTGGGGTTAAGTTGAACAAATTTCTTGGCTGGAGAGCAGAGCCGCACGTGCAGGGTACGGGATATGAGGCCGCACGTGCGGGAGATAGGGGAGGACCTGGGTTGGCTTCTACATAAAAGGCAGGTGCGGAAGGAGGTGTGAAGGAGACGGCACACGTGCAGGGATGAGTGCCGCACGTGCGGGAGACGTTGAGTTTGAAAATCCTATTTTTCTCTTTTCTTGGGTTGTGTGTGTATCACTTTTTGTATACCTCTCTCTCTCTACAAACCTCTTTTCTCTTCCTTCTCTCTACATTTCCTACACCAAACAAGATAAACACCTTGATTTCCTTAGATCCATTGGAGTTTTGACCCAACATCCTTCATCAAAGTTGGAGAGCTAACCGAGAGCTTCATCTTGTGCGGTGGAGATTGGATTTCAAAACTGTCAAATTTGGGGATTTCTCATCTCTTCTTCTCCAAAGCTTGAGGTGGGGGTTTTCTTAGAGTTATATATATATTTTTACAAGTTTATGTTGATTTCGAGATTTCCTTTGGTGGCATTGAAAATTTGGTTTTTGGCTCAAGAATGTTGGTGGTTTTGAAAGTGGGTTCATCTCTTGTTCTCTTTAAATGATTTTCTTGAGGATTAGAATCACAATGATTGAAGAAAGATATTTTTGGTGAGATTCTTTCAAGAGATAAGGGAATGTCTAGTTTTGATGAAAAATCTAGAAATTTGGG